GCACCATTCTTCTTGTTACTGGGAGGAACATGGACCATTTTGTGAATTTTCAAGCCACCCTCTAGACGATTTACTGGCTCTTTCACTGGTGGTCTTTTCAAGGTCGAGGGCGGAGGCGTGACTGCACTCGAGTCTGACGCAATAAATTCCTCATCCACTTCATTCCTTGACTCGTCTCCCTCTCCACCTGTTTGTTTGGTTCAGTAATTTTTCTACACAGTCCAATATAAAATCTTTGAATCTGTAATTTCTCTTCTTGTATTTTTCGTTTGTTGTGTTCTTTTTGAGCAGAATGAAACTATTCAACCGCAAAGACATGTTTTGTCCATATCATGGGTGTGAAATAGGGGCCTAGTGGACAAATGTTCTTCAATTTCAGGGAGTTTGTCGATTCCTGTCATGAACACAATTCCTAAGTATGTCCAGATTTCATCTGATGTGACATAATTGTAATTGTGTTTTCGAGAGTGAGGAGCTAACTCATGTGTGTTGAAGTGCTGGTGAGCATAGCGATTGGTTTCAGTTGTGATGTGATTTACCAAGTCGTCATCCAGAAAAAATTTTAATCCATGAAAAGGGATGCATTTTATGTGTTATATCAATTTTGATCCCGAAACTATTAGCAAATGGAAATATTGGGGGTACAATGTCTCCGTACGTTCATGAGATGGGCGTGTCAGGCACCGCACTCGTGGTAGGTAAATGTTCATGATTACTGTCTTGTGGATCATTGTCTATCACTGTATTATTGTCACTATCAACTTCATCCAATTCAGGAATCATTATTTCATCGCCACTATCATCATCAGAACAAATCTCGTTCACAACATTTTCCAGCTGGTCTGTAGGAACACGAAGACACTTGCTGCAAGAAGCCATGGTGAAACTGAATGAATGTGAAATATTTTCTGACCTTTTCCTTCTCATAGGGTTCCAACAGTAATATAGACCCCCATAAAGTTTACAAGGGTTCTTTACAAACATGCACAAAAACTATCATATATATGTCTTTGGTTGATGAGTGCCAAGAGAACAAAGAAGGGAAGAGATTGTCAAAGCTTTAAAACACGCCAACGCCAGGGAACGGCTGGCATCGTCCGGGCGTTAAAACACGCCCGCGCCAGTCAAAGAGTTAATAGCTTTTTACATTGATTTAAGTGTTGCCAGGTTAACATCTGTTCAGTGATTTGTATTAGTGATGCTTTACAACCATTCGCAGTTACTGTACATCCTTCCACCCTGTTTCACGTCTTAGTGGCTAGACATGGGATCTGGATTGATAATTGGATTTATTGATCACGTGTTGTCTGTAATTACAAACAGTTACAGCACTTTCACTGATATACACACGCTAAGTCTTCTCAGATTGCTTCATCTTCACAAGATGCTGCTTAATAGCAGCTTCTAACGGAGATTTGTCTGCTTCCATATTTATAGCTAATGGTGAACTGTGAGCACTGAATTGTACTGTCCTGAGAAGAGCAGTAAATTGCTGCTGGCCTTCACCAGCAGTCATTCTTGGTTTTTTGGGGCCTATGACCATAATTTTTGTGTCTGATGACTGTTATTCACTCAGATTGGGTCAATCAGGGCTGGTAAATTGCTGCTGGTCTTCGCCAACACAGTCATTCTTGGTGCCATGCCTCGTTGGGACCCATGGCCATGTTTTTGTTCTTATCAAGACCATTAATATATTGTCATATGTCAGAGTTGTTGTAGATGGGGTTTTGGATTGGTGACTGGATTTATTGAGCACCTATGCACACAACTCATTATTACAAGTAACTGTAACAGCCTCATCAGTTTACACACTCTGTTCTAAAGATCACACTAACTGCAGCACACATAATGTCTTCTGTGTCATCACTGGTCGTTTCCTGGAAACATGTCCTAATGATGCCCTCTGCTAACGTCCTTATCCGATAACTGACTAACCCGCAGGCTGGCTGCCATCTCACGCCAACCTCCTAGTTTTCACAGGCTGACTAACTGCAGCTCCCAGCTTGTCCTGCTTATATAACATCTTTGTGTGGACCATTTATAAAACACCGCTCCTCATTGTTGTAATTCAGTCATTTCCATGTTTGTTTGCAAAGGCATTAATCAGTAACTACTCTCGTATATTTGCTTATTCTGCAATTGTTGCCTAGCAGTGGACATTGTTTATAGAGTGATGGGTCTGCATACTACGCTGTTTTGAAATGGGGCCCTCTTCAATGAGGGTCATTCCATGTGAAGTCATCCAGGGAAGTCACTCACCCTTTTTAAAAAAATTCAAATTTTGTACACTTATTTCTACATATTTTCACACATAAAAATATTTAAAAAAAAATGTAATCCGCTCGGTTCTCCCGGTACAGCCATTTTTATAATGCGAAAAAACGCGTTTTCGGCTCAAATGGAGGTTTGTGTTATCTTCTGTATCTTGATAACTAAGCAGCTAAGACTCCAATGAAAAACCAGTTTGTTCCTCATGATATGGGCAATAAATCATCATTACAAGGTTTTACTCAACTCACTTTCTCTAGGTGTAATTAAGCTTGAAACTTACCTATCGATTTTGGGAAAACGCTATTTTTGACCTTCAGAAACCAATGGGAGGGGGAAAGTATCAGGTCTGTGGTTTCTACCCTTTGTTTTCTCCTACATGAAGAATATAATCACATAGTCTTGAACACCGTACCTATTTTCCAAAATTTTCCAGGAGCTTCCAAAGTTTGCTCTGGGCCCAAAATGGGCCATTTTTAACATCTCATATCTCCAGTGGAGAAGCTTCGAAAATTTTGAAATTCATAGCAAATAATGCACTCTTCTACAGTGCTGTCATCTGGGATGCAATACTGTATAGCCTGATGGAAGTCCACCAGCATTTTGGAGGAATGTACTGCCTCCATCTTTGAGGTCGAAAAATAAGCCAAACAAATAACCAGCAAGCTGCAAGTGAAGCTGTGACTTTACATTTCATATACTCTTGACTAGAGCTTTTATACTGTGATGTATAGAGCTGCTGCTAGACAATGATTGCAAAACAGAAAGCAAGGCAACAGCTGTTCATAGGCAGCTGCCAGGACACTAGTGGACTGGCTGGAAAGGGGTGTTTTCTGCACCATCCACGCTAATGGCTGTGCATGCAGCAATGGATACAGCAGCAGAGGAAAGGTATTTTCTGTGGGATCCATGCCTAGATGTTATAAGCAGGGCAGTTAGTGAGTGCAGTGCAGTTCAGTGAAGTGAAATGCAGGAAAGGGAAGAGTTTGTTGGTGAGTTAGAGAACTGAGGTTCAGTTGTTGTGAGCTGTTGCTGTTAGAAGCTGATGGCTGAGGCATGGGGATAGTTCGGGAACCCAGAGTAAGAGGAATGTCTGCCGTTGGAAGCCATTACCAGGTAATGACTGGCGAAGACACTGCAGGCTGGAAAAGATTATGTGTGCGCTGTAGTGAATTGTAGAGTGTGTAAAATTAGTGATAACGCTGTTGTTACTTGCAGTTACAATTGGTCAGTAAATTCAATTGCCAATCCAAACCTCATCTATAGTCACCCATACACATGAGAATACTTACCAACTTCAGAACATCCTGCTTTTTAACTAAAGTGAAAGAGTGAAAGAAGCCCACTACCCTTGAACTCCTTAATGTTCCATGAATGAAGGTCTTCTGCCATTTAATATTCAGTTTCTCTAAATTCCAAGTTAATAATATTAGTGTTAAATTACTTACATTTAAGATCTTCCTCAATTTTGCGTTAAAAACCATGCTGTCACAAAGATTTTAAATGGGGGTTTTACTATATATGTGTTAGTGTAATAACACATTAATCACAGACCTTTAGACTTTGTTCATAGTTGTGTTAATAATTCTTTTTGTAGAAATACTTTTTAAGAGGCTGTAGCGATATCATTTAATGTTGTGGTTGACGCACATCTGACCTAGGTACATGCAGGTATGCAACTTTAAGGTTAAATGTATTGATGTAACTGTAACAATTGCAGGGACATCTCAGGAATCATCACAGAGTGTAACCCGGAGGCGCAGATGGGGAGCGGGGAAAACGAACAGAGCAGGAAAGAAGCCAGTGCTGTCGATATCGACAGACTCCCTGAAGGTATAATGGAGGCAGTCCTTAGGTCATTGTGTATAGGAGTTCATTAGATTTTAAAGGGTTCTGATGATGGTGTATAATGCTCAGAATTACAAGGTTTTTGGGTTTTGTCCAGTGTCTGATTTCCACTGATTGAGGTTGTCTTTTTCTGAGGGACCAAACAGAGCGGGTGTCTCTCCCCTTCACCTGATGATGGAAATAGATTCACTTTCCAAAACATTTTGTTTTGTAGTTTTAAAACTACTGGACACTGGGCAAAGTAAAAAAACCCAGTAATTATGAAGACAGTTTCTTTATTAAAACCATCACAACACAACTATATCAAGGTCAGTGCCTAGTTTGGCTCTGCTACATGTTTCAGCTATTAAAAGCCATCATCAGGCAAATACATGGCAAACATATACAGGATGTCCCAGGAGGAATGGACCAAACTTTGGGAGGGTGTTCCTTATGTTAAAGTATGCCGATATAACCCAAAACATGTATGTCCAAAGTTGAACGGTTATGGAGATAATGGCCCGAGAAAAGTGTGGTCTTCTAGCGGGTCCACACACTATACCTGTCAGCTGTGACTGTTATCTGTTTGTCCTTGAGTGCTGTGAGTCACACCAGCCGTAATCTCATGCGCTACTTACAGAGGCTACAGTGTATGTTGCGTCAGCGTCGTGAATGGTTAGTAAATTACGTGTAGTTGTGCGGTGTTGCTGAAATGCCTTTTGTGTTTTCACACGTTGAATATTGTGATATGCATTTTGTGTATGGATTTTGCGGTGGCAATGCACGTGCTGCTGTTGAAGAGTACCAAAGGCGTTTTCCCGATCGAAGGATTCCATCT